AAAAAGACTTCTAGACTTAATTGACACCTTTAGCAGAGTAGCTGGATACAAGGTCAACACTCAAAAATCAATAGCCTTCTTATACACAAATAACAGATTTAGACAGAAATTAGGGAAACAATTCCTTTCAAAATAGCAACCAAAAAAATGAAGTATCTAGGAATTAATCTAATAAAAGCAGCAAAAGACCTCTACACTGAAAACTACAGCATTTTGAAAAAAGAGATCAAAGAGGATATAAGAAAATGGAAAGATACCCCTGCTCCTGGGTAGGAAGAATCAACATAGTGAAAATGGCCATACTACCAAAGCTGCTATACAGATTCAATGCAATGATGACTGAAATTCCAATACTATATTTCACAGAACTAGAAAAAATAATCCAAAAATTCATTTGGAACCAGAAGAGACCTAGAATAGCAAAAGCCATCCTAGGCAACAGAGACATGGCAGTGGGTATAACAATTCCCAATTTGAAACTATATTACAAAGCCACTATGATAAAAACATGTGTGGTACTGGCAAAGAAACAGACCTGAGGATCAGTGGAATAGATTGGAAAATACAAAAACAACTCCAGATGTACGCAGCTACCTCATCTTTGACAAAAGAGCCACCATCCTCACTGGTAGCAAGACAGCCTCTTTAATAAATGGTGTTGGAAAAACTGGATTTCAACCTGCCAAAGATTAAAACTAGACCCTATCTTTCACCATGCACTAAACTAAAATCCAAGTGGATTAAAGATCTAAATATTAAAAAAGAGTCACTAAATTTGCTGGAAGGTAAGTTAGGCAGAACTCTTGAAGACCTTGGCATAGGAAAAGACTTTATGAACAAAGCCTCAGTAGCACGGGAACTAGCAGAAAGAATCAACAACTGGGATCTCATCTTATTAAAAAGATTCTGCACTGCAAAAGAAACCATCAACAGAACTAAAAGACAACCTACAACGTGGGAAAAAATTTTTACCAGGTGCTCCTCAGACAAAGGACTATTATCTAGAATATATAAAGAACTCAAAAAAATCAGAACCCCCAAATATAAAGACCTGATTCAAAAATGGGCATCTGAAATGAATACACATTTCTCAGACAAAGAAGTAAAAGCATCAAATAAATATATGAAAAAATGTTCCACATCACTGGTCATTCGAGAGACATAGATGAAAACAACACTGAGATTCCACCTCACCCCAAAAAGAATGGCTGCTACCAAGAAATCAACCAATAATAAATACTGGTGGGTTGTAGGATGAAAGGAACCCTTCTCCATTGTTGGTGGGAGTGCAGACTGGTGCAACCACTGTGGAAATCAATATGGAGATACCTCAAAGAACTAGGATTAGAGGTTCTATTTGACCCAGCCATCCCTCTGCTGGGTACCCTTCCAAAAGAATTAAAAGAATCATATCACAGTGATATATGCACACCTATGTTTATGGTGGCACATTTTGTAACAGCTAAAACTTGGAAACAGGCCATTTGTCCATCAGTTGGAGACTGGATAAAAGAAAATGTGGTTTTTCTATAAAATGGAATACTACTCAGCCATAAAGAATGAGAAATTATAGAGTCATTTATAGGAAAATGGATGCATACTGGGGATATACTCCTAAGTGAAATAAGTAAGTCACACATGTATAAATACTGAATAGTTTCTCTGGTATGAAAAACTATAATGGTACATAAGATCCTAATGCTATAACTGACAATGTGAAATAGGAAGAAAAGGGCTAAAGGCGTAGGGGAAATGGGAAGGGCAGGGTAAAGGTAATAAGGGAAAAGAAAAAAATATGAGAAAATGAAAAAATGGAAATAAAGTATTTGTAAATAGGGAAGGGAGGAGGGGGTGAAGGGAGGGCAGGGATAAGGGGAAAAAGAGAGAACCGAGGCCTGTCATATAAAGGTACAAGATCCCAATGATGAATGTAACTGTACTGTATACCTAAAATGTACCAACAAACTCAATGAGGAAAAAATAAAATAAAATAAAAAAACAGGGTTTCAGTAAGTTGCTAAATTGCCCAGGCTAGTCTCAAACTTTCAATCTTCCTACCTTAGGCTCCCACAGTGCTAGGATTAGCACCACGATACCTGACTGCCTTTGCGTTTTCTTAATGTCTTTTAAACAAATTTTAAATTTTGATGCCCAACTTATCAATTTGCTTTTACAGTTCATGAATTTATGTATTCTAGATAAGAAACCTTCACATTCTCAAAAGTCATAAAGATTTTCTCTGTGAAATGCCCTCATCCATAAGTTTGGTGGTTTGTTTTTTGTTTTTTCGGTTGAGACAGGTTCTCACTTTGTATTCAGGCTGGGCCTGAACTCACTATGTAGTCCAGGCTAGCGCTGAATTCACAGGTGATCCTCCTGCCTCTGCTCCCGAGTGCTGGGATTACAGGTGTGAAACGCCATACGCAGCATCTGGAAGTTTTATAGTGATGACCTATGTATTTAGGCCTACCACCAATTTCAACTTTTCCATTGGTTTTATTTTTCTCCTCACCACACAGAGTAGAAGTTCCAGCAAAATATGTGTGTTTTTAAAAGAGAAAGGTAGTGAGAGTATCCTTTCACTCTTCCCAATGGTAGAGGAAAAGGAATCATCTTTAATCTGTTAAGTATGATGCTAGCTGTAAGACTTTCCACAGGTCTTCTTTTTCAAGATTGATTCCCATTTCTAGATTACTGAAGAAATTTTACTATAAATAGGTTTCAAATTTTGTAAAAATTATTGGTACAGATACTGAAATTACCATTTTTAAAAAATCCTTTATTCTTTTAAGGTAAATTTTAATCTTGCATTCCTAAGGTATGCTATACTTAAGAAGTTTGCATCTACAGTCCTAAGAGAGATTGGTTAGTAGTTGTCTTTCTTTGTAATGTTTGTCTGTATCTGCTCTCTCATAACTGGAATCATAAAATAAATTGGGAAGTCTTCATTTTCTTCTGCTTTCTGTAAGACTTTGTATAGGAATAGAATTATTTCAGCCACAAAGGTCTCATTGAATTCACTATAAAAACCAATCAGGCCTGGAGCTTTCTCTGTTGGAAGGCTTTATTTTGAAATAACTATAGGAAGTGTTTGTGACAGTTTCTTGTAACTATTCCTGGGAGCTGCTCATGGGAAATTACTGTTGGGTTTTACCTATGCAAGTCCTGGCTGACATTCAGGCAAAGACTCAAAAAGATGGCTCTGCAGATTCTAGACCCTTTCTCTATGTAGCTCCCTTCTCCCAGGGACTCTGGCCTTGAATGTTGATATGTGTTCCCTCCGATCTAATTGGTTTCCTCTTATCTGTTCCAGGTGGGTTTGCATCACCATCTGGAAGTTGCTTCCAGGAAAAGAATGTGGCCCATAGCAGGACTTCCTTCATCTCTTAATTTTTTTCAGTCACAGTTTTATACTGCTTATTGTACAAAGTCTGAAAATAATTGTTTCCTATATTTTTTCCAGCTTTCTAGTCGTTTGTGATAGCAGCTTCTATTGCTTCTTCACGCAGAAGCAGAGTTCCTACCCAGGGAGTTACTAAAAACTAACAAACTCAGTCCCCAGAGGTTTTGGTTCACTAGAATGTCCTGGGAATCTGTGTGTTTAAAAATTCTCCAAGTGATTTTTATACACAGGTTTGAGAAACACTGCACTAATCATGTATTCAAAAGCTATTAAATGTAGCTTGTAATTATTAGCTTTTTTTAAGGTACAGAAATGAGATTTTTCATTTCCTATCTTTCTAAGATTTAAAAAATAATGCCTTGGAAATTAAACTTCAACTGATCAACACTACTTACAGAAATTCACCTTATTTGAAGTTTATTATATTTGGAACATTACTTCACCTTTATTTACATCTTTGGGTTTTTAGAAAAGGCTTGATTAACAGTACATAAAAAGCATTAAATCTGCAAGTGAAATATGGAATTTCCCCCCTTGCCTTCCTTTTAAATTAAGACACAATTTCTTGTATACATGCAAATGCAAAGCCACTGACTTGCAACAACATAAGGAACATAATTTTACCCTAAACATTACAAGAAGTTATAAAGTTCACCCATAAAACACATGGTCAACAATCGACAATTAGTAATAAGCCCTATTACTTTAGAGATAGATGTGGACAAGGCTACCTTTTATCACAGGATACTGAATTTGAGGCTGTCCCTCCTTTGGCTGCTCTTATGTATGTGGAACTATTCTACCTCAGCCACACTTTCTAAAAGTGGCTGGATAAAGGACACAGTAAGAGGACCTCTGGAGCACCAGAGAGAGCAGCCATTTGCCCTGATTCTGGTCTATATTCCCACAACAGCAAGGAACAGCAACTTCTGTAAACTAGGTGTTATGGATTGGCAATATCCTTGAATTAGACCAAGATGACACATCTCTAAATTCATCCCTTCTGCAGACCACTCCCTCTCCAAATCTGAGTTGCCCTGTGACTTACTTGGACCGAAAGAAAAGGTTAGAAGTTTTATTGTTCAAATTCACACCAGGATCCTGCAAGGTTTTGCTATCTACTACTTTCACTCTCCTGGAGCTGTGCAAAGAAGACTGTGTGGAGAGAGCTGCCCAGCATCCTGCTGAGCCCAGATCCCCACTTATAATTCAGGTGAGCACAGGCGCAGGAGTGAGCCCAGGCATAGTCAGCAAAGAACCACAAAGCCCACCCAAAACAGTGTGAAAAACAAAATTGCCATTTTAAGCTAGTATTTTTTTTTAAACTAGTAAGTTTTGAAATGATTTGCTATACAGCAGAAGCTGAGATGTGCCAACTATATATTGAGAGGTATTTTAGTTTTCCAGAAATACACCATAACTTATATAATTTAATTCAATTAAAGATATTCAAAGTGCTTTAGGAAATAAATCCCAAAATTCATCCTTCTGAGGTAGTCATCGGCCCTCCTGATACATGGTGCATGACCTCTTTGAAGCAGAGGACTTAACTGCAGACTGTGAGGCTCCACAGCCTTCGGCAGTCCGGGGGTCTTACCTGCATGGGAGATACAGCTGCCGCAGGAGGGGTTTTCATAGGACTCGGACTCAGAGGTGTTCGAGGAATTGCAGCTGCAGCAGGGTTTGGTACTACGAAAACAAGTACATAATGAATACAATAGAAGGCTTTCTTAACTGGCCGCTGTTTAAGGATTCACCAAATTTGTGTGGTGGTGGTGGCAGCAGCTGCGGTTTGAGACAGGGTCTTGCTATGTAGTACAGGCTGGACTTGAACTCACCATGTAGTCCAGGCTGTCCTTGAACTCGAGGCAAACTTCCTGCCCCTGCCTCCTGAGTGCTAAGAACATAGGCATGTGCCACCACATTCGGCCATTTTTCATGAGACTAACCAGTGTGCTCAAATCCCCATAGAAAATATCTTGGCTGATACCTAACCTAGTTAAACATTCATGGTTGTGCCCCAAGAGACAGGTACTTGCTTCCACAGGCCAGTAATTCCAGTTTTGCTATTAAATTACATAATATACCAATAAGTGTCATAAACTAATGAAATCCAAATATTAAAAAAAAAAACCTCAAGAGGGCTAGGAGTATAGCTCAGCAGTAGAACACTTGCTTAGCACATACATCCCCTAGGTTCAATCACCAGCATTAGAAAAAAAATTAAATTTAATTAAAAAACCCAATAGTAAGGTGAGCATGGTGGCACACACCTGTAATTCCAGCACTCTCGGAGACAGGGATAGGAGAATCATAAATTCAACTACAGCCTGGACAAAAGAACAACTTAGCAAGTCTGTCTCAAAACTGTAAAAAAGGATATGGTGTAGTTCAGTGTGAAGGCCCTAGGTTCAACCCTTAGTATAGGGAAGGGAAGGGAAGGAAGGAGAGGGGAGGGGAAATCATCATACATACCAGGAAACATACGGTGAGTGAATACAATTGCATACCTTTGGAACAATGCACAAAGAATTACTTACCTTGAGATGCACTGTCAAAGGATTTGATGAGGGTCTTTACTGTAGGAGTTGGCTCTGAGGAAGTCGAGGACCTTCTACTTAGTCCCATCCCTTGCCTTAAGGCTGCCAAATCTCTCTCAACAGCATTCATGTAGTTGTATACTCGACCTCGCTCCTCCTCTTGCCTAAAAAATATATTGAAATACAGGGATTTGTATATACAGAGTCTGCCTAAAAACTGTACACATCAGGAAAAGAAAAATTTTTATAAATATTTTAATATTACATTTACTGAGACATCATTAGATTAATACAAGTTACCCTTGGCCCCTACCATTACCAGAGGTGCTCAAAGTCATTAGCCATTAGCTCCCAGACATTTGTTAGTATGGTCAGCAGTGCTGAAGTATGTATAAAATTTTTTGGCAGACTCTATAAGAGAACTTACATTTTTCCCTCCCAGCTGAAAAGCATTAAAACATATTAGTTTTGTGGGTTTCTTTTAAATTGTATCGGTTAAGCAGAATAGATTACCTGGACCAATATTCTCAATTGCTTGGTAAATACCAGGAAATGATATTAAAAATCTCTATGAAGTTATCCTAAGTTAAATAACAATCAAATTCCATTTTTATTGGATAAGTGTCAGGTGAGGACATCAGTAATCAATTAGTAGTAAAATGGAAGGCAGATCAGCCACAGAGCCTGACTCAGAACTGGGAATCTCTGATTCAGCGCTGCCAGAAGGCCTGGCCCTCCTCTAAAGTCTAGGAATTCATTAGCGAGTGTGGATGGATAATTTGCGCTGGCTCTAGCTAAACTGCTGTGCTTAGACGTGGAAATACAAAGAAATGAAACCAAAGTCCATGTTCTTAAAAGCACAAAACAAAACAAAGGTACTATAGAATCCAAACAGAATTTCTACAAAGAAACCTACACCCCTATTAGTAACATGGATCCCCCAAGCAGCCTAGCATGATGCGTCCTGAATCATCGGAAAAATCAACTCTATTTCATTCTGGCTCTCTCTAATTCAATGAACTGACCGACATAAAAGTTTTCATCTGGAATGAGATTAAAAATGCAGGATCTGCACATGTCATAAAACTATCAAATATACTTAATGGAGATAAAAATTAAGCTAGTCCTTAGAAAAATTTGGCCATTTGATATTAAAGGTTTTTTTTTTGGGGTCTCAAGGTGGACCACAGGTTCCACGTTCAGTTAGTTACTACGACTAAAAGTTTTCGGTCTTTTGTTTGTTTTCCGTACTTAAGATCAAACCCAGGGTACTCTACCACTGAGCTACATCCCGTCCTTATTTTTTTTTATTTTTTGAAACAGGATCTCACTATGTTGCCCGGTAGGACTCTAACTTGCTCTCCTCCTGTCTCAGCCTCCTTCAGTGCCGGGATTATAAGCATCACTGCACCCAGCTGATTTAAAGTTTTAATAAAGAATCTAAAACAACAATTGTCAAACATTTTGGTCTCAGAACACCTTTCATCTCCTAAAAATGACTGATGATCCCAAACAGCCCGTGTTTATGTTAATTATCTTCCATTAAATGAATTAAAGATAAGAAATACATAAAATATTGAATTCATCTAAAAGTATATCTAGGATTTAACATGATGACAATATCTTTATGAAAAAAATGACATTTTCCAAAGCCAAAAGAAAAATTAATAAGAAGACTACCAGTGTTTTCTATTTCTTAATATTTGTTTCATGTCTGGCTTAGAAGACTGCTAGATTCTCACTTCTGTATTCAATCTATTGAGGTATGAAAAGTGCAGATCTTGAATAGGTAGATGTTTGGAAAAATTTGGAAGACTTTTTAAAATCTGTAACTGTAACTATTCTTTGATACTACACTAAAAATGCAATAAGCTATAGTTACTTGAATGTAGCTGTGGGCAGGGAGTACAGATCGGTGTTGCATTGGAGTATCTGCCTAGCATGCACAACACCCTGGGTTCAATCGCTAGTACAACACAAACGCATAAAAAGTCAGTTGCAGCACAGAAGCTAAAACTATGTAAGCAAACTTCCCCTATTCTGTCCAATTACTGATCTATTGTGTATTTCTAAAGGATCTTTTGCCCAATCATGACCTTGTGACATCATGCATTAGTCACATTTGTTTCTGCAGCACATATACTAAAACACCATGCATTAGTCATACGGAAAATATTGGCTCACTTGATTTCACAAATGCTTGCCCATTATAAAATATATCTCTTTAAGTCCTATTTGTTAATAGGACTTACAATCGCTTCTCGGCCTTTTGGCTAAGATCAAGTGTAATAGGACTTACAAAGCTCTTTGAATTACAAAGCTCTTTAAAGACGGGAAGCTGCCAAGCTCCCAAAAGCAGATATAGGTTTCCCAAAAATCCTAAAATTCCCTCAAAAACCCACATTTTATCACCAGCAAAAAAAAAAAAAAAAAAAAAAAAAAAAAAAAGTCAGTTGTTTCTCCTGAAGGGACAATCATTTTCAAGAAATATCTACCATCAAAGCTGAAATATCCATAGTTTATCTCTCAGCTATTCTCAAGTAAAAATGATGTTCCAGTAAAATTAAAAAAAAAAGTAGCTCAAACTTACATGCCTGGCATGGTGGCACACACGTATAATCCCAGCACTTGGGAGGCTGAAGCAGGACTGCTGCAAGTTTAAGGCCAGCTGGCTGGGGATTTAGCTCAGTGGCACCATGGCTGCCTAGGTCCTGAGTTCTATCTCCAGAACCGAAAAAAAAAAAGTTTAAGACCAGACTGGACAACAGAGCAAGAGTGTGTTTCTGAAGACAAAATAAAAACAAAATTGTATACTTTAAAATGATCAGTGTTCCCCTCAAGGCTACCTCATAGTTGAGTATAGAACAGATCAAGCAGAAGTACTTTAACTTTCCATTTTCTCACATGGAAGGGTAAAAAATAGGGTAACTAAAGAGTGAGATTTAATAAAATTAACAATTTATCTTTTTAGGAAGGACACCTTTACATGAAAAGTACATTTTGGGTTTTTTTTTGGTACCCGGGATTGAACTCGGTTCCTTACGCTTGCAAGACAGGCCACCGAACCACTGAGCTAAATCCCCGGCCCTCTTTTTTTTTTGTTTTTTTGAGACAGGGTCTCACTATGTAGTTCAGACTGCTCTGGAACTCACTGTGTATCCCAGGCTGGTCCTGAACTCACAGCGATCCTCCTGCCTCAGCCTCCTGAGTGCTGGGATTACAGGCATATGCCACCATGCCCGGCAGCTGCATTTTGTTTTGTTTGGGATTTTCCTGCATTTTTAATGCCTGTGTATGGTGGTGATAAGTTCAATGACTGAGTTCAATCTGGTATGAATGCTTAATTCACCAAGTTTACATTTGTTTTTCAGTATTCGAGTAAGAGATACCACAGTGAAAAAAGCAAAAAACATGTTAATATTATTATGAAAACAGTACTATCTGAAAGAGACTTGGGGAGACCCTATAGTCAGTAGACCTCACTCTGAAAAGCACTGCTCTACAAGATGCTGGTACTTCTTTTAAATATGTATCTCACAGACCAAAGAATTTCAGAATCCAACAGAATTTTACGTTGAGAGTAAAAGTTTAGGGCTGCGGGTATAGCTCACTTGTACAGTGCTTGCCTAGCATGCATGGATCAATCTCCAGATTGCCTTGGAATCAATCCAAGAACCACAATTAATCAATTAATAGAATTTCATTCAGAATAATTCTTCAGTGAGGCACTTCTGATATGCTATTCACTTGATAGTATACAGAGGGGGGACAAAAAAGCAATGCAATGCAAGTTTTACACCAGTGACCTCTGCCTCATTCCAAGTTCTGTTTAAGGAAGCCAGTGAAAGATGCTTAGCAATATTATTCAACAGACCATACACAAGGACTAAGCCATAATAAGACTTTCAAAGAGAAATGTTTTTCTATGCCTACTTAAGAATTAAAGCAAGGAATAATCAGATTCTTCTGTTTGCTTTTGTTTTGAGGTTTGTTTGTTGAGACAAGGTCTTGCTATGTAGTCCAGGCTGGTTTCCAACTTACAATCCTCCTGCCTCAGCCTTCTGAGTGCTGGGATTTTAGGCATGCACCACCACACCCAGGTTCAAATTCTTTTTTTCTTTTGATACTGAGGATTGAACTCAGGATCTTGCACTTGCCAGGGAGGTGCGGCGCCACTGAGCTACATCCGTGACCCTCAAATTCTTAATAATAACCTCAAATACAAAAATATTATTCCCTGCCAGGCATAGTGGCACATGCCTGTAATCTCAGCCCCCTGGGAGGTTGAAATAGGAGTATGATAAGGTGGATCCCAGCCTGGGAAATTTAGCAAGATTCAATCAATCAATCAATCAATCATTCAGCTGGGGCTGTAGCTCAATGTAAAGGCCTTAGGTTCAACCCTCAATACTCCCCCAAAATAAAATACTATCCCTCAGGCATAGATGGAGTCACTGCAAAGCTTAAGAGTGCACAACAGATGTCACCTTACCTAACAGTTTTTATGGGTTTCCAATGATGTGAGTTAGATGGGGGGAAATACTGTGGAAATTCATGCAATTACAGAATAAAACAAGTGAAAATTCCATAAATGAGTGATATAGATAAACTCTCTTTGCATTCTTTGAGTTTCCAAAAATACTAAGGCAGCTCAAGTTTGGTGGTCATTGCCCTGAACACTTTGCAGGCATTATTACCTCTTTTGCTCCTTATAGTAACATTGTAAAGCAGCCAGTGGTGTTTTTGAGATTTTTGAGAAAATGGAGGATCAGGAAAGTAAAGGCTGCTGACCAAGATCACACAGCTAGTAAGAGGCAGGGCTGGACAAGAGCCACATTTATCTCTTTACAAGAATATATATCTAAAGAAAAATAACAGGGCTGGATCACAAGAATGAGGATAAGGAGAATCACAACCAGTTACCATTCTGGCGCCCTCCAGAGTTATTGATCGCTGACATAGAAAACAAGTGTGGAAAAATCCCTTACAGACCGTGCTACTTTACAGGTGTCATAAAAATGAGACTCAAACAAGTTAGCTTCCACGAAGTCCAAAATTCAGCAGCGTCAATGCCCATGTTCTTCCCATAACGACACAGCACAAAATTGGGGCTTAGGTGTTCTCTACTGAAACACAGTACAAAACTGATTTTTCAGAACATACTTGCGTGATTTTATTTCCTCCAACTCTTTTGTGAGTTTCTCATTTTTTTCTTGAGCTTCATGTAACCGGCGCTTCAGATCGCCAATCTCCTCCTGGGCTTCAGATTTAATGTCATTTGCGATGACTACCGCAGTCTGTAGATCAGCTTGAAACTGCCGCCATTCTGCAGATTCTTCCTATATTTAAAAACTGAATTTTTATTTCCAAAAGAGAGCAATGAAGATTTATTGAAAAGCAATAAAATTAGTTTGTGATTGGATTGCTACAATGTACTGTACTCCCAAATGATGATTAATGTTTGTTAATCCCAGAGAAAGGCTATTACCTGTTTGTAACAGGCTGTATAATGATCAGTAACCTTGTTCTTTTTTTCCCCTTGTTCCTACCCTCCCTTCACCCCCTCCTCTCCTCCCCATTTACAAACACTTTATTTCCATTTTTTCATTTTCTCAGTAACCTTGTTCTTAATGAAGCAAAGATTTTTCCAGCTGACCTGCCTCCTGAGACGTCAAGCACTCAGAGTGCTCAATAAATACTAATGATAACAATGTCAAGCCTCTTCTCCAAACTTCAAAGCAAGTCTTATGAAAAGACATCTAAAACTTAGTTTTACCGCTGGAAAGCTCGAAAAGGTATATGAATGGTATGCAAACCATACAGTTAAAAACTATAAATATCCTGACATCAAAAACAGAAAAACAAAACAAAACAAAACCCTAAAGTAAAGGAAAAGGAAGAGGAAGCCATAAGAAAAACAGTGAACTCAATATAGGCAGACAAAATTATACAAAGAAGCAGTAAGGAAATGTATAGTCTATTGCTTCCCACAGACATGGGTGTGGCCCGGTGGGAAGTCTCCTCCAGGGCTTCACCTCCACCTAGAGCCATGGCTGGGCCATGCCTGAGATCTCGCACTCACAGAACAATTTTCTGACATCATGAAGGTGCCCTCAGCAACTGCGGCCTGACTCAAACTGAGATTAGCACCTCCCTCTACATCACAGCAGCACTTCTATTAGCAAGCGCATCAAGTCCACAGAATAAAGAAAATTCACGCAAAGCCTAGTTTAGAACATTCTATACTCAAAAGCCAATAAACTTTTACTCCAAAGTAAAATGTATGTTTCCTAAATCTTTTTTCCTAAAACTGCTGCCCATAAATTATCAGTATATTCTTCTATCCCTAATTTTGCATGAGTTCCAAGTTGAAATGATGGTCAATCACTTTCTGCCCAAAGCCCAATGGGCTCAATACCCCCAGCCCCATTTAAAGTTTAAGGTGAATAATGGCATGATCAATGACATTAAATTTTGGGAAGCTGTTTTCTAAAAATACATGAAGATTTATCTTACCCGAAGTCTCCTGTGAAGTGTCTTGATTTCTCTTTCCATGTCATGTTTTTGGTCCTGGAGTTTTTTAACTGTATCTGAAAAGATCATTAAAGTTTAAATATTCTTAGAGCAATGTTAAAAGAGAGTAACATAAGAAGAGGAGGTACTTAAAAAAAATGACATTCAAAAAATTATCTTTACAATAGATATTTTTTGGGGGGTACCAGGGACTGAACTTAGGACCTTAAACTTGCAAGGCAGGCGCAACACCACTGAGCTAAATCCTTGGCCCAAAAGGCTTATTTTTAATACAAAACTTAGAAAGCAAAAAAGAATGGTTAGAGCTGGGGATTTAGCTCAGTGGCACTGCACCTACCTTGCAAGCACAAGGTCCTGAATTCAATCCCTAATACCACAAAAATAAATAAATAAATAAATAAATAAATAAATAAATAAATAAATAAAAAAAATTTAAAAATGCTTAATCCAACTACTAGCCAGTATTACTTTCTGTGGAAAATATCAATTTAATATTATAGTTTCTACACTACCTCCTTCCAAAGTACCTTAATTCTGAAACAAAAACTTAATTAAAATCAGTTGTTAATCAAAACAACATAGACTCTATTAAAATATGAACTTTTAATCACAAGGATTATTAAGGAATTTACTCAAGCACAACTTCCTTCATACACAGGAATAAATTCCAGAAACATAAATTAGTAAGCCAATTATACAATTAATTATATAACACCCACTCAGCTTAAATTAACTCTATAGAACAGTAGCAGTAAATATAAAAGGAAGCAAGTCACATTCTATTTGGAGGGAGGCTCTGCTCTAAAATCTATGTACAAGAAACGAATGCCTTAGGAATATCCTCCTGGTAGCTGGCACAATATGTGTTTCTCATAGCTCTGGAACCAACCACTTTTCAATTAAACACCCAAAAGTAGTTATATATGGTGACAAATCCTTTATTCTGATTTTACCTACTGTTACAGTCCTGTCCATTTTCAGTGTTGTAACTCCACCTTACATAGCCTTCTTACATGTTGCCGCCAATATTATCAATTATTTTTACACATTTCTACCACTAGACTGAAAACACTTCAAAAGCAGGAGCCATTTCCCAGCCCCAGAAACCAGAACATATGGTAGGAATTTAAAACAGAATAAATATATGGATAAAGATGCAATGGTAGAAGTAGGAAAAAGTAATACCAAAATCATTACCTAGGATCTTTCTTTAAAATGAATATATTACTGACATCAGTTGTTAGGGTTATGTAACTAGAGTCCAGCGGAGGCAAACCTATGGCACATGTGCCACAGTGGGCTGTTCCTTATCACTCTAAAAGTCTCATCATCATTGCAGACATTGGTGCTTCTGAGTAAATAATATACTACCCCATTTCTTCCATTTAGAAACATAAAACCAAACATAGCGAACACCTGTATGGAATGACATGCTTCCTCCAACTAACAAATTAATCATTTTTTATCAAGATACTAGTAGCTATGAAAATGCTTATTTTTTCTTAGATAGCCCATCATCTTCCTTATTCCAGTTCTGTCAGAAACTTGGTTTTCTGGGATACCTGTGACATTAAGCCCTTCATTTAACATTGGTACATTTGTGTTCTGGTTTTGGGGGTAGGGGAGCAGTACTGTAGCTAAGCCTACACCCCCAAATGTTTCTTCAATGGCTTTCACTTCAGTATTTCATCACAAACACTAGAATATTTGTAACACTTATATGTATAACAATTATTATAAAAATACAATATGCTGTGTTTTCTAAAGATGAGATTCTAAAAATGAGATAAAACGTGGGCAAAATAAAAGCTACAAGCTGTGGTAGCCGTGGGTAACACCCTCACAAACTCAGGGACTATGAAATAAGAAAAGTTCAAAATTTACTTATTAACTCAATAAGCTCTTAAGTACTAATTTTATACCAGGTTTTTTTCTAAGTGCTGAAGATATAAAAAAGATAGGCAGTCTCCACCCTCTAACAGGCCAGTCTCGTGTCCAGCTATCAAAGAAGGGTGATTTCATATGCAAAGGATTAAACTTTTAAAGTGTGTCTCTTGTACAAAGTTATTTTAAACATCATTTAACCTGACAACTGAGATAGTCAAACAGGTTACCCAATTTGGTTAAGGGTAATGTGGGCATAGAGGTGAATGGACAAGTCCATTACCCTGTTCTTTGTTGCCAGAGGCGAAAATGGCTCTGCAACCAGCAAGGGAACTTGGCTCACACAAGAATTTAAGGTTTATATTATCAGACACAGACAAAGAATAAAGATAGAAGAAAACACTAGAGTAATGCCTTTTGTTTATATTTTTCCATTTATATGTATGAGCTATTTTATAATTAAACAGGCAAGCAAACAAAAAGTGTTAGGACCATGATTTCTCTTAAAATTTGCTAAAAATTGTTTTTCTTTTCTTCTTGTCACAAAAGACACAACTACTTTAGACATAATTTATATAAGAAAAATGACAGCAAATCTTAACAGCTCACTTTTAATACTTGGTGTCCTCTCAGGTGACATTTTAAATGACATGATCATCTTAGGCCAATCAAAATTTCACATTTCATTCATTCTTTTGTTCTTATCCTTTTGTCTTTACCTATCTCTACATTCATGGTCAAAGAATTCACATAACTATTATTCTTACAAGGACATTAGTCTGCTGCTGACACTATACACTATTGTCACATCTTATTATTAATCCCTTTAAACAAAGGAAAGCTAGCAGCCAGCGGACATACTTAAATAGAATAAAGTGCACTAAAAATGTCACTAAGGAATTTGATTTAAACTTTATAATCATGTCTATATTTTCCCTCTGACATATAAAGTGTTAAAAATGATATCATGCTTCCCCCCTGGAAACAAAAGAGTATGTGCTTAAGTTCTTGTTTTGAAGACTACTTTAACAAAACTGCCAGCTAACATGGTAACAGTCACACAAGAAGCCAGCATTATTTTAACTCTAAATGCAATTTCCTTCCTTTTCAGTTTCTCTAGCATAAGAGACACTGCCATCTACTGTCTTTGATTTAAAAGCAATATTCAGTTCTACTAAATAACAGGATGACTATGACGTTGTTGTGTTTTATTTACAAATTATAACTCAATTTTTACAAATCAGGTAAACTGCTAAGCTCATTATTGCATCAACTTTGTTCTGAATATTCCTGTGCACTGCCCTGTTTAATATTGGGGTTCATTATCTCATCAGCACTGAGGAACTGCCACTTCTGACAAATCAAGAATCCATGCTGGCTCTGATTATTATACAGATATTACCAGGCACCTACCACAGTACAGGCTCACACTCTACCTTTTTTTGTTTTGGGGGGTTTCTTGGTTTTCTGAGGCACAGCCTTGCTACATAATTCAGGCTGTCCTTCAATTCACCATGTAGTCCAGGCTGGCTTTAAACTCATGGCGATCTCAGCCTTCCAAGGGCTGGGATTACAGTGTGTGTCATCATACCTGTTTCAACTTTTAACTCTTAGGAACACAAATAAAGTCCACGACTTTTCCTACCCTTGAAATCCCTAGAAATCTCTCAGTACTGGCACCAGCACTTATGAGGCTTCTATCTGGCCAAGTACTTGCCCTAACCCCAGGTGTGATTTTTAGAGGAAAGAAAAAGATAAACAGTAAACAGCACACAGATCATTAAAAAGACCAGGGACAAGGGTGGGCACTGGACCACAGCTTTATCCCCATCCCAGGATTCCTAATGTAGGAAGATAGAAGTGAATTTGAAATGAACCATATACTATTGTAATTTTATTTTTTAATTTTACTCATTTTTATTTTCCCTCTAAAAAGCGGATATAACTTTTTAAATCCTTAAAGTAATACATATTCACAATAAAAAGTATGGAAAACTGGACTGGGGATTTAGCTCAATGGCACTGTGCCTGCCTTGCAAGCACAAGGTCCTGAGTTCAATCCCTGGTACTGGAAAAAAAAAAAGTATGGAAAACAGAAAAGAGTGACAAAAATAGGAGTACTTATTATTTGCATTTATAACTTTCCAGAAATCATTATGCATATACATTTTTTAAAGAAAAATAGGATTATAGCACTTATATTTCTTCATAAACCTTTGTACTTACACAGCAGATAATAGACACTTTCATGAATAAACCCAGACTTACAGCATCATTTGGAAGGCCATGTATTATTCTATCAACTACACCATGATGTGTTTTAGCAATCGCCTATTAACAGTTGACAAGATCTCAATTTACTATGAATAAAACAAATGTTGATTCATTACAAAGTTCTCATCATATGAGCAAGGTAGCTGTGTGCCTATAATCTCAACTACTTAAGAGGCTAAGCCATGAAGACAGCAAGTTCAAAGCCAGCCTGGGTAGCTTAGTGACTCTTGTCTCACGATTTAACAAAAATTTTGTATTTTGATGAGGAGCACTTGCCACTCACTCATCTTGGCCCTGATTACCTGGACTGAAGATGAAGCCCTGACTTGGGGCGGGGCTCAGCTGATGTTTAGTCAGCTGTTTCTTTTCTTTTCAAACATGCTCTGGCAAACCTTGCTAACAAGTTTTGCATGGTTTATTTTTCTTCAGTCTGTTCTGGCAGGCTTCTAATGATATCAGAATCACTTTGACCACGGATCACCAGTGTTTTCTGCATGTGGTGCCCAATTCAGTATTGTTACTACTGTGATGATGGATGCCAGTTTTGGCCCAAATGGCATAGAACTCTGCTTCAGATTTCCTCAAAGCTAGGCGGTTGTTAGTAAAGATGACCAATTTTACTTTGCCCTGTCTGATCATCTTCAGAGACTGCCTGTATCCCTCTAATTAAGACCTAGCTAAAGCCTATGCTGATGACACATGCCTAAAGGGGACTCCTTTCTGGACGTTCAAGAAGGGAACTGGCACTTAAACTGAGGCCGCTGAGTGGACACATTTCATTGTACACCAAACTGCCTTTCCCTTTGTGTGGTTTTTGTTTTTAAGACTACATAGTAGAGGGATGGGGCTTTAGCTCAGTGCTTCCACCATCTGCCTCATAAGCACAAGATCCCAAGTT